GATTTGCAACTTCTCCCCGTGTCAGCTGTGAATCTCTTCTCATCCACGGACCCGGTGGAGACACCGTGCTCCAACACACGTAAAAATAAAAGTTAAAAATGAAACAACAACCACCCTCGTAACCGTGCTGGCACACAAACACTCAAATATACTTTACAGATAATTCAAATCAACCGCTTCAACAGGCGCACAACACAAGTGCACACAGCGACTACACCACTCCCGAACAGTACAGCAATCCCAGCAGCCCAATCAGGAAGGCTATTGTTCAACTACCGTAAGGTGATGGGTAATTTGTATAAGTTTAAAATAAGTTTTGGTAATGTTTTTGTCAAAATTGTATGCCTTAGATTTAGTGTTGTGTTGGTTTATACTGGGTTCCATAGTGTGGGCCTGATCAAGATCCGCCAGAACAGCAAACCTATTCTGAGCCGTACACATAATTAAACAATCAAGCCACTAGGGGGACCAAAAAGAAATCAAGATAATCTCACCGCTGCAATGTAATAGGTACCAGGGACGTACTCTTGTAGTCCTTAAAGCCGCATCCGGATGGATGAACAGGTCCCAGGGATGTTGTGTCCAGACGTAGAAGGCCTCAGGTGGAGGCCACCTTCCCTGGGCCCTGTAATCCCCTTTGTACCTGGAAGCAGGCTGGTGGATCTCTTGGTGAGTCTGTCCTTATTAGTCCATATGATGGTTTCTAACTGGCCCACTCCGATTGGTATTAAACCTTTATTAAAATAACAAAATAAAAGCCCTTCCAAAATATATAAAATCACAAAATAGATCTACTGTTCAGATGTTAGGTTTAAAGATCTTGAAAAAAGTGCTTTTTCAGAGGACAAACAAGGCCCGAATGGAACCGAGGCCTTATATGTAATGTGTGTTTCAATTAAAATCAACCATGTGACCGTGTCCCATGACCGGAAGATCCACTCACTTCCCGCCCCAACCTTCCCATCCCATCCCTTCCCCCTCCCTCCCGAACCTGTAATCTTATCCTAAGAAGAAAGATGCAGGTCAATGGCTCTGGCTGAGTTAGGTTAGGGCAAGAAAATATCATCAACTACATTATAAATGTTTATGGTGCACTGGCAACATTGTACTCCCCTGTATCTCTTTTCCTCCTGTGTCTCCCTTTGTTTACTCGTGTTCCCTTTTTCCATTCCGTTTGTCTTGTCCTCCCCTTTCTCTTTCCTTTCTGTCGGGCTTCAACCCTAGACTGGAGCTCGTAACAATGGTCAGACAGACTAATTTAGGATGCTAGTTTTTTATTTTCTTTGTGGATTAAAAAGAAGTCCCCCTTTCAGTGATCTAAGTGGATGATTTGGATTATAAGCATTAATTATAAGGTAGACACCTGGTTGACCTTTTAGTGCCTTTTTAAGTTAGCAAACATTTTTTTAAGTCAATTCTGTATAAGAGAGAGCCAGTGAAGGGAGCTAAGAACAATGGTTATATTTTCATATTTTATGCTAATAGTAACAATCGTAGCTGCACCTTTTGAATATGCTGCAAGGTGTTTAGTGTGCTTTACCTAAGTGCCTTCGCTTGCTAGTATTTTGTAACTGTAGAACGCAAACCTTTAATATTACATGAACATGTAATTTGAATGAGAGGCTTATGTCTAACATGATACTCAGATTATAGGCCAAATTGATCAAATTTGATCAAAATTTTGAGACCCTCTGGGGCAAGGGCTGAAATTATAGCAGTCGTATCTGTGCTCTTGTCTCAAAACAACAGCACTGCTGTTTTTAAATAGTGTTCATTGTGTATTTGAATGTTTAACCACCAAAAGAAATATACCTAAAGGCAGGCCAGTGATTAAAATTAGCTCAGTGTTGAATGAGACAAAAGGAGATGGTGTAGATTAACAGATTGTCTATGGTTAGTTCAAAGCAAATCCAGTACATCAGTGAGTGGTGTTAAGACCCATGAAAGATGCACTGGCAGTTGAGGACCTTGCAGAGTTTTATTTCATTCAACATTAAAGATAAAATCAATGTTGTAATTTGCTAATGAAAAAAAAACACATAACCTATTCTGATATATAGAGCAAAACAAAACCACGTGAGTCTGTGCATCAGTCATGCACTGTGGTTAGTGCTGGTGTAGCATTTTTTTTATGACATACTGGGCCTCTTGATAAAATTGTAGATATATCTGAACATCGCTGCCAGTCAGCTGCATGACCTTCATTGAAACAGTGTATAAATATGCTAACAGATTGTATCAGAAGCATAATACTCCATTACTCATTGATGAATAATTCCATGAACATAGCAATATATACATTACCTGACAGTAATATTGTAGGAATATATGCATGTAATTAGAAATATGTAAAATACTCACAACAATATTTTTAACTACTGTTACCCTCTCCAGGAAAAGCAGTAAGAAATCATGATGAATGGTGACATATTTTGACCTATATTTGCTAGTCATTACCCATCCTCCAATGACATCTCTATAGAAGATTTTCTCATTGAGAACTGATCTGCTCTGCGGATATCCTGTGTAATGTTCAGGTAAATTGCAACAAAGTGCTCCTTTAATGCATGCTCTGAAACTGGTGCACCTCACCTTTTGTCTCTTCTGGTTTTACTAGCAATACATTAACATTAGTGCACAATCCCAGGATTGTATACTGCAACTTTTTTAAAGTTACAGGACTTTTTCAAAGGTACAGGACTCTACAAAAGCAGATTATTAAAAATAACCAAAGCAACTTGTGACCAGAGTAGGTGCAAAGCCAAATTTTGAGGCCAAAATTTTAAATGCAAATAGCAGGACAATAAACAAAGCTTAATTAGTATCCATTCATGTGGTGTAGCTTACAGTATATGACTGATTCATCGAGTTGAAACTGAGCCCATTAAAAACTTAGTAACTTGGCAAACAAGGCCAAATTAAGATACTGAAAAGGTAGAATATCTATCATGCAGACTTTACATGAAAATCATGTTTGTGGTTAGTCGTGGTTAGCTTTTAATCCATGCTCAAAATGGATAAAATAAAAAAATGCAATGAGAAATTTAATGATCTTGAGAGTTTTTATGTAGAACTGAAGCATCAAAGCATAGATTGGTAACCCCATAGTGTCTAACAATCCTTGGCAGCTTTGAGCAATTTGGAATGTTTACATGAATCTAGTCACCTGCTTCATTACCACAAAATACCACAAAATCACTCATGAGATGAAATCAGGCTACCTGAGTCACATTAGCCCATTTGTCAACATAAAATAATAGGTACAGATGCAATCTACGACCTTCCACAGTAATAAAGGTGAAGTTAACGATTGAATAACAGAATTCAAGTGCATCCTGTAAAGTGGAATGTATGTGTGGGTCATTAAGTTGTTAATGTGTTGGAGATATATAAAAAAATTACAAAGCACAAAAGGTTGAGGGTAGGCAGGGATCATCAACCTGTCCTTACACAGACAAATGTGTCCGTGGCAAAGCTGTCTATGTCTTTGGTAAAAAGTTACGAAGGCAACATTTTTAAATACCATGTCTGTGGTAAAAAGTTTCACCAATTTTGATGAACTGGCTGGCGTGAGATTTTCAACTTGAGACTGCACACGCATTTTCATGTATGTAATAGTTCTATTACCTTGTAATCAGTCTGTAGGGTTTGCAAATTACCCCAAATGCTTTTGATACAGCTAATTTTAAAACTGAATAATATAAATTTGCAGTAAGATTTCTTTTGTGAGCGTGAGAGTCTGAAAGTGTGAGTGTTACACCAGATGTGTGAGAGAGGCAATCCTGTAAAAATTGCATTTTGATCACAATGTCCATTAGAGTTTGTTATGGTGTTGATCGCTGGTTGAGGAAATAACTTATTGAAAGCAGGTTTTAATAGGTACACTTTACATTTGACTTTGAGAAATGATGGAGATGTATTGCTAAATTCACATTTACTACTGAAATTGACCAGGCTTGTCTTCTGCAAATGTTAACTCCGACATAGGTATGCAGATATGTGAAAAGAGCACATGCTCCTATTTTCGAAATGTATATTGTACATTTTTTAATTTGTGATGATTCGACCGAAAAACATAATATAAGTGACATTATAAGGTCCAGCATTCTCATAAAAACCTAAAAGTCGCTTTGTAGCTGTGATAGTACTTTGACTGTGATTAATAACCAGGCCAGATGAATACATATCGGGCAATTGGAAGCTCGTAGGTGATGAGAATGTTACTCACCTGATCAGAAATTATGCCTCTACAACCTGCTATTCAAAACTTCCAAATAACCTACAGTAGGCATTGAGTAAACCTCTTTAGCCTGTATAATTAATTGGATTATTACGTATTTCTTAAATTAAGCATACCATTTAAATATACAATGTGCAATAATATTAGTAAAACATTCATAAACAATCAGGCAGTGGCTTGTAATGCCATCCAGCAAGCATGGTATGCTGCGATTTTAATTGTTTTACAGCAGTTTCTCTTTTTTCTGCACCTCAGCTGAACACTGTGCAATTGACCACAATTCTGCAAATTCAGAAAAAAAAACGTGTCAACCCACGTACCACTCTGCGCTGCCCTTGAAGCTGGATTTATGATAAACAATGCAGGGCTTGTAGGCACCTTCAGTTGACAAAATAGGACCCCACCCAACTCTCTTGCAACTCCACCTCTTCACATCTCACCTGAAACACTGCTCAGTAGTCAATGCATATTAAGACAGCTGCGTCGGCTGTGAGGATGTGTGTTTCTGACACACATACAAAAGCACCTGAAGAATACTTTGAGCTGCCAGGTAATGATCTGAATGACTTTTAAGGTACCAGATCCAGATTAATTAAGGCAGTGTATATCTGACATTTGCCATAAGGAACATCAACTGAAAATGAATTGGTAAGGTCTGGAAAAGCAGAAGAAGCCTCCACTGCCACACATCCAAATCACTATTTACATTCTATAAAAATGAAAAAGGACGTACCATGGCAGAACATAGTCTGGTAACACGCTTAGTTATTTACTTTACCTTTGCCTTTCTTTACCTCACCTCTGCCTTACTAACTGAGTTCTGTTTCTGTTTTCTCTCTCTCTGCTCCAGCATTCGCACTCAGACCTTGACACCTGAACTTGTTTTGATAAACCCCGGCACAATACCCAAACAAAGCCCCTATTTTTTCTTCCACTTCCTGTGTATTTTCACCATTCCCCAAGCCCAAATCTTACTTCCGAATTCGCCAGCTCAGTTCAGCATGTATTGCTGCACGTTCCTTGAATGAAAATCATCTCACGTTGATAGTAATAAGGGGAACATCATTTTCAGAGGTTTATCTCATCTTTCATGACTTGAGCCATGGGCCCACTTCAGACCTGCCTCCAGTAGTAATTACAGCCCTTTTGCCCCCATAACTGGAGCTGAAATCTGGATTAGATTAACTCATTTTAGCTGCCTATTTTACTACCTATTTTTCTTGGAGCACAGTACAGTATTTCAGAGAAGTGAAAATTGACAAGAAGTATATTGAAAATATATTGATTTACCGTCATTTTTCCTCAGTTTTTTTTCCTACGGTAAATACTTTAATATTAACATTAACATTTTTTCATCAGATGAACACCTTCAGTTATAGCAGACTTTGGATTCCTTGGAAGCAGCCCAGTAATGCTGACCAATCAGGAGCAAGAAGAACACTCCCACACATCCAGACCTATCCAGGGTTTAGTGGACACGAATGGGGGCATATTCACATGTCTCAAAAAGAGAGAGGGAGGTCCGCACAGGGTCAGGGTCCTGTTGGGCAGGCTGGTGATTGAGAGTGGCATAAACAACATGCGTCAAGTCTGTTGCTTTTCCGACACTCTCATTGTTACATAGTCCAACTGAGGCCTCGTCGGGCGTGCAGGTCCTGGCAGGTGGGAGTCGGACTGAGGCCTTAGTGTTCTTTTTCTGGGACATTCTCCTGTTAGTCGGGATGTCATAAACAGGGCCCTCTGAGGTGGGGGTGATATGTGTGCGCACACTGTTCATTCGGGGAGGGACTTCAGGCTGGGGCGCAACTTTACAGGATTCCCCTGACGTCTCATGCTGAAACCAGATTTAAAATGAATCAGACTCCATGCTGGTCACTGACATTTAAATATTCATGCTTTATTTAGTAATATTGAAGAATGTGAATTGGTTGTGGTTTTACCTGATACTGGGATATTAGGACTGCTGTTGACTGCTTTGATCCTGGGAAAAAAACAGACAGACATTACTTGCCAAAGCATCTGCTTTTACTCAAGTACTGCATAACAACCTTTGAGCAGCCATTATCCGATTCTCTAACCATAAGGATGATTAGCTCATCATCTACAGTCATTAAGGTCAAGAAGGAAAAAAAAACAAGATTCTGACCCTGACATCTTTGCACAATGAAACATGAAATTCCCATGACCACGAAGGTGAAGATCAGTATGCCGGCAGAGATGTAAACATAGAGGAGCCAGTCTTTGTTTCTGAGTATCATTGCTGAATTTTTGTTTTGTGGTCTTGTTGTTGAAACCTCTACAGGAGCATCTGGAAGATAAAAAAAAAAAAAATGTATAATGAAATAAAACTTGCATTTATGATCATTCTTAAATTTTTCTGTGATGTGTTCATATTTACTGAGGTTTTATGCACTAATAAAATCACAAACAACCTTAATTTTAGTGTGATTATATAATTTTATATAGTCATTTTTGCCATAGCATCTATTCTGTATATTCTGAATTTCAGAACAGTCATTATAGAATTTAGTCTTGCTGATTTGCCTTTTAACCTGTTCAAGATAGGGCTGAACTAATATGTCATACTAGGCATTTTCCTGGTGGGCTGATGGGTACCCCCCCCCTGGTCAGCAAAATGTATCATGGGGCACATTTAGCATTAGCAAGACTGATTTTTAATCGCAGTCCAGCCATGGGCCTAGGCCTGGGGTGGGAAATCTTATCCACAATAGGCTGGGGTATATGCACGTTTTCGCTTCAACTCCCTAATTAGGTCACTAATTAGAGGACTGATTGGCTGAAGAGTCCTCACACCTGGGTTTCAACAGCTGACCTAAAGGTTATCCCAAAAACCTGCATACACACCGGCCCTTTGCGGATAAGACTGCCCACCCCTGGCCTAGCTCATTCATTTCTGCAGAGGGGGGTCAATTCCGAGCTTGACTGTGTCAGCAATAGTCCTTTCTTAATAAATATTTTCATGACCCATGAAAGCTACAAAATTAGATTTTTTTTACCTTTTTTTTTTTTTTTTAAAAAAAAGACAAGAATCAAGTAAACCAGTCAATTTTTCATGTTTAACCTATCTTTATTGTTAAAAAAAAAAAAAAGTTAGGTAGGAAATTATGGGCAAAACTATGTTAATCTTCATAGACTTAAGCTAAGAATATAATCTTTTTTATTTCAGTGTGGGCCAGCTTTTGCCCTGGCCTGCTGTAAACTGAATATACAAATTCAGGGGGATTATTTAGCCTTTTAACCTGTTGATTTAGCTATTAACTAATAATACGCATTTAACAAAGTTCAGAGAAAAATGTTGATGACATTCATCCAATGAGAAAAACATAAAAGGAACATGGATGGAAAATATTAATTAAATATTATTAATAATAATAATAATAATAATAATAATAATAACAACAACAACAATAATGAAAAGAAGAAGAATCATCATCATCTTAGCATGCTGTAATTTCATTATAGAAGGCATATAAACTACTTACCTGTGACAATTACATTAATAGAATGGCTTATAGAGTCAAAATCGCCTGCGGTTTTACATCTGTAATTGCCAGAATCATTTACCAGTGTGCTGGTAACATGGAGGTATGACACCCATTCCTTTGCATTGCTGTAAGAGGCATTCCACTGGATACGATCTGGCTCATTTATGGTTATGCACATATTTGACAAGTCAAGTTTGCACCATATGACACTGATATTTTGCCTGCAGGCCCTGATATTGCAGTCAATTCTCAGACTTTCCCTTGTGATTGCCCTCAACACCATGTTGCGTGACACTCGGATGCCTGGACTGCATTCATCACCTGTGTGACAGACAAACGGCACCATCAGTAAAGCGCTATGCATGAGTCACACCACCATTTCAATTTTCCCTCCCATTTAGGTTGATTTCTCTCTAATTGTATACATTGGTTTTCTGAGCTGATGCAAGTATCACTTACATGTACACCCTTGTGCAAATTAATTGAAACAAGTATACAGTAGAGTCTCGCTTATCTGACCTTTGCTTATCTGACATTCTGTATTATCCGACGAACCACCGCAAAAAAAGCGAGACTCTACTGTATATACAGACTGACTGACCACAATATTTAATTAATTTTTTTTTTTAAATGTGTTCTGTCCGGCAGCTTTCGCAAGCAGAATAATGGTCTGAATGCACTGCTGTGTCAGACATATTTGCTTTACCATGAGGGGCTCTATAAACTCTGTATAGGCCCTTCATGTTGGTCAATTTCTTTTTATTCGTATATTTATTGTATCTTATTTAATACATGTAAAATATTCCAGTTGCCGTGCTGCCTGGAAGGGAGTGATAGATTAGGAAAATGAGTGAAGAAAAGGGGTAGGGAGAGAGATTAAAGAGATACAAACAAAAAAGCATAAATACAAAGACACAACCAGAAATAAAGAAAATAAAACAGATATACAGACATACAAAATTGTAGCATGTGCTTGGAAGGGAGCATGTGTGTTCATCTGTTTGGGGGAGGTGTTTGAACACGTATGCGTGTGTTGGGTGCGTGTGAATTTCTCCATGGAATGCACTTGATAGCGAGGGTGGGGGGCTGCAACCACACCTCACAAGAACCAGAGGCCGGCGGAGACAGGCCCAGGAGACCCAAGGTGTCCGCAGCCCCCCAAGAGCACGGAAGAGCCAAGGCCCCACGTCCCCACGACAGCCGGGTCCCCACCCCAGCAGGAGGAGGAGGGAGGTCCCAGGCGCAGCCCCCGCAGCCAAAAGGGCACGAGCCCCAGAGAACCA